GCAGCTCCTCCACCACCTATGAGGCAGTGGGTCAAAGCAGGGGCTGGGATTTCGGCGGCGACGGGGCAGGAGGGGCCATACGTTACATTTCTGTACTCCTGCAGCGTGATCTTCCCGTCGTGGTCCGAGTCGTACATGTGGAAGAGGACTGGGAGGGACGAGAGGAGCGCGGCAGGGTCAGGGGGGCCCAGTCTCACCGGCTCCCCCACCCCGGCCTCGGGCTTTGGCCAAGCCTCACATTTGAGTTTCTCTTTCCGGAAGCGATCGAGCTGCTCCTCGTCCATGTTCATCTCGATGGGTCTGAAGTAGGACATGATGGTCAGGAAGTCTTCAAAGTTTATCTCATCCGCCAGCCCATCCGACTCCTGCCGTAGGTTCCTGCCAAGAGTGGAACTGCTGGTGACGGGCAGCTGAGACCCCCCCCCAGCTGCTCATCAGAGAGCCCAGTGTGTCCCTGGGCAAACCCAGTGTGTCCCCAGCAAAGCTTTAGGGCTGGTTTTTCCCTAAGACTCAGCTTAAATATCTGCAATTTTTACCCTGGCTCAGTCCCAGCCTTTAGGGAGAAGATCTGTGCCCAGCCATGTCCCGCTTTCAGAGGGTAAACCCATCACCCCGACCCTCCCCGCGGTGCCAGGGCTCTTCTTACCGCTTGTCGAAGAAGGCATGGACGATTTTCCCCCGAATTGGGTTGAACTCCAGATCAGGGATGCTGTCGAAATTCTCCTTGCTGCAAACAAAACAGAGACAGCCCGAAATGTCAGGGAGCCACGGAGGAGGGAGATGCTGTGACAGTCACCAAAGGGCTGGGGAAGAAGCCCCAAAACCCATTCTTTCAAAGCAATCATGAAAAAAAAAGAGTTTTGCATTAAAAACCTCTATTTGCCTCAATTCACACTGAAAGCAAGCCATGCTGCTGCATCAGGCTGTGCTTGGTGCAGCTACAAGGGATTTTTTGTCCCCACTAAAATGAGTTTTTGGGAAGCTCTGGGACATGACAGCTCAGGGCCAGTGCTGGGGCCCTTTACACGGCTCCGCCTGCAAATGGTTGCATGGTTTTCAAACAGTTTTCCTATAAATAAGGTCCCAAACAGGGCTTGACATGGGAAGGGAAGGAGCTTTTGCTGTTCCCCCCTCCCCTCGGCATCCCCTGCCCCGCACCGTCCCGCTGCATCTCACTGTGCGGACATCAGGTCAACCCTGTGCTTCGTGTCGCTATCGACTTGCAAAGCAAATCACCCAAGAAATAATCTCCGGGGGGGTGAGGGGGTGGAAGCAGAGGGCAGCTGGGCTCCCTGGCCAGCTCCTCGCGTGGCTGGTGACGCTGGTCAGCCGTGCCAGAGCTCAACGAGGAACCAAGAGTCGTGGCTTTGGTGCACAATTGCCTGCACAGACGCCGCGGAGGAGGGAAAGGGCAACTGCAAACCCAACCATAGCTGCTGTGTAGGGACTTCTCGCTCCCCAAAATGGATTTAAAAGCTGGGGGGGAGATGGGATGCTTGGCAGGAGCGACTCTGCACTCAGGCTGCTGCTTCACTGCTCATTTTCCCTCATATTATTTGCAATGTCACACTGCAGAGAGGATGGCCGCGGGGTGACCGGGAAGGACACACTCATCGTCGCACCCCGGGGAAGGCAGGTGCCATGGGTGATGCTTCGGCCAGCCCCCGGGGGGCAGGGATCGCCCCGGCAGTGGCGATGGAAGC